TATTAGTTAAGAGGCACATCCACAGAGGCATTGAAGCCCAGACTGTAGTAGAGGCTACTTTTACATTGAGGTTGGGGAAACATTTTCAAGATAATATGCTTTTATCAAAGCCCCTGAAGTTACACAATGCTGTTAGTAAATCAAGAATTTCTCAACTCTTATATCACCTTGATTTTGAGTACATAGGAGGCCTGGGCTGTCCAAAGTAGAAACTGCAACAGTACTAGGAGCTGTTCTAACTTGTGTTCTAGCTCACATAATCCCACAGCTTCCTGTGTCAGGAAAAGAGATGAAAGAGAGGTATTGTAACCCTCAGCTCTCATTTCTACTCTCTAGTTGCTAACATATGTTTGGGACATCCCCCAAATGGCTCTATTTCACAGTACATTGAGGTACTACATGACCGAGTCTGATGCTTTGTGTCCTGTCAGAGGGGTGAACAAAGACAATGCATTTGTCAAGGAACCGATTTAAAATGTATGGTTTTACTCAGCCTTTCCACAGAGGGAGAGTAGCTTTGGCTATAGCATTACAGAGGCACTTTCTCATTGTTCTCTTCTGTAGACCATATAGGTTTCATATTTTTTAAATTTTTATAATTTTTATTTTATTTTATATTTATTTACTTTTTCCAAATAGGATTTTTTCTATATCAGCCTGTGCTGAGACAGACATAATGCCTCTCAGGGGGACTCCAAATACTGCCCATTCATTAATGCATCTGTGTTTCTTAACAGCAAAACAGGATTTCTTTCTCCACCATCTACCATACTATCAGTGCAACAGCTCTCACTAACTCTGGGCACTCCTTGTGAAGACCTGTTGTCCTGAAGAGAATTGTGGCATGTCTCAGAGGCTTATGTCTTGGACTGTCTTAACAATCTGCCTCTAGGCAAAACAACACATGGGTGGAAGAGGGTGCCTATTTTAAAGACACTGTACAAAATGCTGCATGCAACCTCTTGGGTTTCATGAGCTTGTCTTAAAACTAGGTCTGTATCTGGATCTTACTGAAGTAAAGAGAGGCAGCTGATGCCAGATGAAGGTAGAGTTGTTCTCCTAAAACTTGGTGGAATTTATTTTGGGAGTATTGTTCAGAGGATACATCATGGCTGCTCAGAAGTGGTTAGTGTCACAAATAAATGACAGTTAAATTGAGAAGAAGAAAAATGAGAAAAAGTGTAAGGAATAATAATCAGAAGGTGAAAATCCCTAAGGAAAATACAAATTATAGTGTATGTGAAGTATAGCACAATGTTTAGGGTCAGAGTAATTCTGTTTTCAGGCCACATCATTGTTAGTAGTAAGAATAAAATGAGATAATGCAAATAGTCTCAGCAGTCTATTTTCATTTCAGTCTTGGTATAAACGCTTGTAATATCACTGTTATCTGAGTACCTCCTGTTTAGATCAGACCCACTTCTACCTCATTGTTTCTGTCCTTTTGCCATTTCCACAACACAAGCCTAGTGAGACCTTGAGAAAATCTCCCCCTGCATCTCTGTCCCCTTCCTGTAAAATGTAGGCAATAATACAATAAGCCTGCAAGGAAAAAAAATGCATTGGAGAACATTATGATAGTGAGAGCTGTGAATGTATCTTATGTAAATATCTTCTCTGGTGAATTCAGGTTTAAAATGGCTACAAAATTAGGTTGATCTAAAATTCCTGATCCAATTGCTTCTGGCTTTTTAGGGTGTTTGAAAATCAGATTCCAATGAAGGACACTGCAGGAATATGCAATGCAATGTGTTTGAGGGCTCACACATGCTGGTTCACATCAGTGCCCTTTAGTATGTAGGTCTGGCTGCTGGTCAAAGACTCCCTTCATCCAAGCTCAAATTAAGTTCATGTTGTTCAGAGAAGCCTGCTCTGCATGCATCTGGTGCTTCTCCTCTATTGTTTAGACTAATGAGGACAGAGTCCGCATGTCTTGTTAAATGTTTGCTGTAGTGTTCATAGTCACATTCTTGGAAAAGCTTGACAAAGAGCTCCCCAAATTAGAGCCAAGCAAACAAGCATTTCCATAACAATTTTAGATGTGACAGGTGCCCTGAATTTATTACTATATTTGATAAGAAAATGGAAGGCTACATTCACAGAAGTGCTAAATACTACTGCCTGGCAGGGAAAAGGTCACATTCCTCTTTCCTGAAATGATGCAGTCCCTATTGATTACAGAGAGAGCTGCAATAGGAAGATTTCATTCAGTTTGCACAGAATGACTAAACTAAATACCTTGTTGTTTACAGAAATGCTATTTTAAGTGGGATCTTAAATATATACATATATTTCTTGGGAGCTGCATTATGTTCTTTCCCCTTGATGGGAAGGTAATGCTCCAGACTCAAAGTGAACCAATACCAGTATGCACTTAATTGTTCCTTGTCCCAGACACCAGCAATAACAGAAAACACCCAGTAAATATCACTGCTTTCTTTCCTCTGGGAATATACAGTCAAATCTAGACATGGCAAGGGGAAAAAAAAGCATGTAACAGGAGTAGAGCTATGATGATGCTTGGAGCTGGGAACCTCAAATCACCAGGCTTGTGCTTTCACACAGTCCTCAGGCTAGTACTGGATGAATACAAAAAGCATGTGTTCTGATTTTCTGTTATTTTTTTTACCCTTTATATGCCTTGTATGAATGAAATGAGTGTCCACAGCAGTGGAGAACCAGGCCCTAACAGAGACCACCAGTGGAGAGATAGACTTTGAAAACAAGAAGCAAGAGATTTTCTAGCATGAAGGTGAGGAATTGTTTTGTGAATAAGGCTTTCCCTTGTGAAAGAAAAAATTAATTTTGCCTATGGCAAACAATCATAAGGCTTTATCTGGTAGATCATTAGGAGATGGGTACCCAAAATTAAATGAGAGGTATGTGAGAATTTGATTGAATAAGATGGGGGAACCAGTGATGGGTAGAACAGCTGCAGTGGGAGAAGACCTTCACAGCAGCATTTTGCAAAATGCGTGTGAAGACATGGCGAAAAGGGAGACAGGGTTGTGTTTCTCTTTCTGTTAGATCTAAGGTTTTGTTTTGTTTTGGTTTTGTCTTCACATCAGGGGGTCTGCTGAAACCTCTGTGTCTGAACATGAAGAGATTTTCATTGAAATGCTGTATACCTTTGAAGGAAAACGAAAACATAGCCTTATATTTACTGATCTGGTAAAAAGCATAGGAAAAACAGATTTTGAGAAGGGCCATGGCAACCAGACAAGATACAATGAATTTCCAAATCCCAGTAGTCCAATGGGTAATAATGCTGGAGGTGTGTTCATGCAGTAATTTGTATTCAAAGTCTGAATATTTTACAGAGGTTGTTTCTTACACCTGGAATTCAGAACAGGCTCACTATAAATATGCGGCTGGAAGTTAATAAAAAGATGTGATCTCTTATCCCTTTATTATGTGACATTAGTCAATTCAAGGTTTAATATTCTCCAAATTATAAGGAGCAACCTACAAGAGGAAGTGAAAATTTCAAAGGTGGGTAAAGAAGGATTATTCACTCTTTCTTATAACACAGAAATTAGCGTGTGAGACATTAAATTATTAATCAAAATAATTGAAGGAAGAACATCTGCACACAATACATAATTAAATTTTGCACCTCCTTTCCACAGGATGTTTTGGATATAGCAAAAATGGGCTGAAGAAGCAATTAGACAGAGTCAGGGAAGAAAGGTCTCTCATGAGCCGTTAAGCTCTGGGAAGCAGAAAAAGCATCCAGAAATCCCTAAACCAGTGACTGTCGGTTGAGAGAGGATAGAGCAGGGGAAGGAGCATGCTGTGCTTATCCTGTTCCTTATGCTCTTTTCCTGCACATCTTTTACTGCTCAGATTCAGAGACAGGATGCTGAGCTAAATGAACCTTTGGTATGACCCTGTGTGGCTATCCTCATGAATTATACAAATCACAATTCCATACATGCTTTGGATACAATTCACATTCATGCAGAGCACTGGCTTCTGGCCTTGCAAATTTTACTTAATATTTACAGTGAGAATTTAAGTAGAAACTAAGTGGCTGAGCTGATGTGTTCACATGATCCCCTTTCACTCCACCTGGAATTACATACTGCCTCTTCTGTGACTGTTTTTTGGCTTCGGTGTAATTTGATACACAATTAGTCAAACATCCTCTCCTGCGATATCTGTCCTGTTGTGTTCAATTAGCACTGAATAAGGGAATACATTCTGAGGCTTGAATCTCGAGGATTCCTGTCAATTTGCATTGACATCATACTTACAAGAAAGGAGCAGACAGTTCCAGCTGGAATTGAGTGTTAGCAGCTACAGAGGCAGCCACGCACCAGCCCACAGATGGTCCATTTCTTGCTCACATTCTTGGCTATGCCTGCCTAGAGTGTCCTTTTGTTTTCACATAAGTCTTAGGTAAATTATTAAATGTATTTTAATGTCCAGAAACACAGTTCTTAATGTTTCAGATGAGGGCTAAGACCACAAACAAAGTTCTTAGATATATTTTAATCTGCAACCCATGGGAAGGAAAAGCAGCAGATTCTTAGTTATATACAGGACATTTTATTCTTGTTAGAGAACAGGGGGCCAGCTGGTGGGAGGCTGAACTGATACTGTTTCCGGAATGGCTGGATTGCCTGAGAACAAACGGTGCTTGAAGAAGGGACAACTTGAATTTGCAGTTTGCTTCTAATTGCAATTCTCCAAAAAATTCTGCTTCCTGGTAACAAGTTTTTCTCCACATTAAATGAGTAGCTGGGTAATTTATAAGCTCTTGCAGAAATTATTTCCTGAAAAAATACAAAAACCCTCCAAAACCCACCTTAAACAGAACAATGTTTTCTGGGGGAGCACAAGAAGAGGTCATTGTTTTGGTGCTCAGAGCTGATGTGTTGGGAATGCTATCAAATGCTGTCTTTTCTCAGCTTTGTAAAGCCACTTAGCTGAGTTCTGGAAGTAATTGGCTCTTAGTACTCTGGCTAATCAGTTCCCTTCTTGGTTTACCCTGAGCTAATTAACTCTCATCTCTTCAAATTATTCCCAGTGCAGCTCATCACCTAACGACCTCCCATCTCTGTGCAGCAGCTGCTGTCCATTGCTGATAAGGTGGGACATTGTCTATCACAAGATGTTTTCCAAGACAGAACTAGATCAAAGCACTGAATTGTGCCAAAATATTGCACCAAATAACAGCTTTTTCTGTAGCTGCATTTTTTTTCCTCTCTAGGGGAAACAGTTTACAATTCTGGATGCTCTTTTTCTATTATAGAGGCTGCAACATGTTACCAGGAAACAAGACTCCATGCACATGGGACAGCTCAGCTTGATCAAGTGTCTTTGGCCTTCAGTGGCTGATGATCAGTGTGTGGTAGAAGTCTACAACACTGCAAAGGGTGCAGAATGCAACATCATTTTCAAAGCATGAACAGCATACTGTTAAATATTATTGTGATCCTCTGTACCTCTTAAGCAATGGTAGGCAAGCAAGCACCAGTTATTTAATGCTAAAAGATATAATGAAGTGCAGTGTTCTTTGGAAAAGAGAGACCCAAAGCCATCCAATGAGTTTGGGTGAGCATGCTTATGAACATCACCCCAGGGGTTATGTATCTCCAGTGTCAATTGTGAATGGGTCACCATCAGTTCCCTAAAATATTCAAGAGAGTTACAAAGAAGCTAAAGAGGTTCATTGTCCAGGAAGTTTTTGCTTGTCTTGCTCTCTCTGATCCTAAAACAGAAACGGTAATGTGCCTGTTATGTTACTTGTACCTCAGCTCCAAGCCTGAGGCTCAGTGTCAGTTAAGTGAAGAAGCAAGGAAATACTGTCTGAAGTTGCTTCCTTGTGAAAGGGTGCTCAAATGATGTCCATTCAGGAGACTCAGTTTCTCTCTCCACCCAGCTGGCTGTGAGAATCCCTTGTTACCTTTTCATGTTACCTTTGGTTACCTTTGCCCAGCATTAAAGTCTTCAACATTAGAGTCTCCAGCACTGGATATCAGCTTCTGCTAAATCCCTGACACCAAATACAAACTTTCAGAAAAGGCCCTTCCTCTCCAAACAATCCCAAAACTAAGATCTGAATGGACTGCTGCAATCAGAAGTGTTTAAAATTTGTCCCTGGATCTGAGTATTGCAGTGTGGCCTGCAAAACTGTCCAGTATTTACTTTCTAGATGGCGAGCTGAGGAGACATGCTTCAAAAGGTACAGTGAAATTTTAATTCATGGTCATTGACCTTTAGGAGCTAGGTGTAGCAATCTATTTACTGTGCCAAACATCACAAATACCTTAAGAAACTGCAGGCACTAGCTGGAGTGTTTGAAAACACTTTTTTTTTTTTTTTGTGAGAGAGAGAGGGATGGACATTTTTCTAATTAGATTTCATCTATCTACTTTGAATTTGAAGTGCTGTTTATCTGCTTTTCTCTCAAGTATCTTAGTTCCTGAACCTTCTTGCAGGCCACTTCAAGATGCTTAGATGGTTTCCCAGTATAGATTGATCAGTCTCCAAATCTGTCTTCCAGACTTATTTGTCCCAGGACATACATAGGAAGTTAATCAACTAATTTAGGTGAAACTAATTAAGGAATATGAGTTGATAGTTAAATGGAAATAAGTTTTTAATCTTGTATTTATATTTTCTTGCTTACATCCTTCCATTTTATGTAATCTAGAGTTTTAGTCATGAAAATTATCCTTCTGCATGGAGCTTCATGAAACCAATTAGGTTTTAATTATGAACTTGTGAATACTCTGCTGTTTCCATGTCTGTGTATCTTGGCTATGACATGAAGATGTTTATATTATGTTGTCACTTTCTCTTGTCATTACAAGCTTCCTACATGTTCAAATGAAGAATTGTTCTAGGCTACTTTTTGAGTCAGACTCCCAGTGAAACCTCAGACACCCAGGACACTACTGGTAGTTTCTGTGATAAATAAAACTGTTGTCTCAGGCTTCTTGTTCAGAGGGAATAAGCATTTTCTTCATGTTTGATATGGCCAGGGTATGTCCACATAGAATTATAGAATCATTTAGTTTGGAAAAGACCTCCAAGATCATCAAATACAACCATTACATATTCTGGTGGAGGTGAACATGAGGTAACTTGTCCAGTGTACAGAGTTGTCTGAAATCCTGGGTTAATGAAACAGGCCTGAATTATTAATTTCTGCTCAGAGATAATACTATGGCTCTACACTTCAGCTTGGAGCATGGCTAGAGTGAGTTTGTTTCTGCTTAACTGAGGACTACACATGTTCTGTACAGACCTGTCCCAGTTCATGGCGGCATTCTCCATAACTGATGATGCTCTACTCTGTTCCCTTTTGTGACAGAAGCAGCAGCCAGGCTATCTGATGGAGTGGTGTGGCCTGACTCCCACCTTTAGAAACAGCCACATCCTCTTGAGCAGGCCAACATAATAAATTGTTCAGAGGTTGCTTTACTTCACTCTGTTTCCAGAGCCAATCCAAAGAAGCCTCTTATTCCACATCTTCCAGACACATCAACCACAAGTTTCCCAAGGTGAGTGATTCTTGTTCTTAGGGTTTTGCTTTTAGAAGCATCCAAACCACAAGGAAGCTGTGGGGAGTACATCAGTCTTACTGTAAGTTCTGGGTTGCATGCCAGGTCTAGTTATCAATGTCAGAGAGGAGAGAGAATTTCTGCAGTTGAGCCCAACCCCACTTGTTGAACACCCACATGGAGGCAATGAGCTCTGTGAAGTATTTGCTTCACAGTGAACAGCTTCACTGATGTAATTTAACCTGCACATTAACTACACTGCCCTTGAAGAATGCAGCCCTACTAATCTGATAACATGAAGTACATGCTTCATCATGGGTACATATTTCCCAGATAAAGGTGATAAAGATATAATCTGCACAATGTTGTGACATAAAATGGCCACCTGTTCCAGCTACATCTAGTGTCTTTGAAATTACTGGAGGCAGAATCATACGTGTCATTTAAGACCATTACTTGAGCCCCAGATCAGTAACTAGCTAGAAGGATATGAATGGTAAAGATTTCCACTGTCATTTAGTAGTACCAGTAGTGCCCAGAGAGACATGATCTATGGTGAGGGCCAGAGGATAATTAGAGTTTTTGCCTTTGCAACTTCTGAGTTGTTATGACTCAGCATGGCCAATTCAGCTGAACTGAGTTCCCCTGCTGTTTAGGGATTCAGCTAAAGAAAACTCATTATATAAATGCAAAGTAAAATACATTATCAATTGATACACCAGCATTTTCCACAATGAAAAGGAATTAATAACTTGCTAGCTCATCCAGTTGTCTTTGTATTTAAATGGTTGCAACAAACAACTTTCCTGCTATAAAAACAAATTCATTTAACTGTACCAGTGTGGAATTGCCTATTTGTTCTATTTAAATATAAAAGTCTTGTTCTGTGCCACAAAATTCAGTCATACAGATTTTGAAAGGAAATAAATGGTCTGAGTACTGAACTAATCAAATTCCCTGCTGTAACATAGAAAAACATTCATATACACAGTGAGTATCCTTGTAATGGTGGGAACTGTGATACACACCACACAAAACTGGAGACTTGCCTCCTACTCTAGCAAAGTTGCATGGCATTAACAAGGAGGAGATGGAGATCTCATCACAAAGGAGGATACAATCTTCATTATTTACTGTAGACAAAACATTAAATATGAAGGGGGAGAATAGTTAAAATTTTCCAAAATTTCTAGTGATCTTGTATGTCTTTAAATTTTGGTTATTTTGACTCAGACACCTAGACAATATCTTATTCTCTTCCTATTTTTTCCCCTCTTGTTTTGTTTTGATTTTGTTATTATTTATGTAAGACAGTGTAGACAGCTTGCTAGCTACTGTCTCACAATCAATGCATGCCAGACTACTTGGTAGATGATGACATACCCATTTAGTTGAGACAGATTGGATTCACCTGAAACAAGACATAAACCCAAATATTGCTGCACTACAATACAGTCCCATACTTTGTTTTCAGTATCAAACTTACCATTCCACAGTTGAGTTTGTTCATTTTCCTATGACACTAAAGCACTTCCAGCACTTTATCTCAAGATTCTATGTTTGTAGAGAGGACAAGTGTAGTGAGCTGATGTCAGACCTGGTTTCTTTAAAACATTCTTTGTTGTTTTCATCAGAAACCATTGGATCGTTTCTATGGTAAGAAGCACATAACTGTTCCTTCCATAGCTCTCTTTCTCACCAGAGCCAAGCTTTCAAAACAGCAAGACATTTTTGCAAGACATAAATATAAACACTACAATCTGGTTTGGTTTTAATGGATTTTCTCCTTCAGTATGAATAGGATTGCAGACTATTTCTCCCACAAATACTGTACAGTGGTCAAGCAGTTCTTCCATCATGCACAGATACTTCTATTTGAATGGTGGCTATGCACAGTCTTTAACTTCCAATTCATAAATCTAGCAAATCGTTTGTGGCATGAAGCCTTTTTTTAGATGCGTTGTACATGGAAATGCTTACTCATAGAGCCTCTGAGGAGTCAGCAGACTCTCAGTCTTCCTCAGTACCCTCAGTGGCAATGTGCCACCGTCTTCTTGCTTTTCTCTTCACAGCTGGATTATTCCCTCAAATCCTTAAATAGGTTAATTCATCCTTATAGAAACATAATAGAAATTAATTACTGCAGTTTTGGGTATACAAAGCTAGCAGCAAAGTTTCCGGTGGAGAGTAGGGCTAGTCTAAATGCCAAAAGGATTCAGACAGAAAGAGAGAGAGACTCTCAAGGCATTAACCAGTTCAGTTTCTCAGAATGCAGGAATTTTGTTTTAGAACTATTGACAAAAAAAAAAAAATAAAAAAAAATAAAGAATTATGATGACTCCAGAATGATTGTCATATGTGGAAATGTAATGAAACAGCCAGAGGTAATACAGATATTGCAAAGGCTGGGAAGAAAGCCATTTAGATCAAGAGATGTATGATACTGTCTTCCACATGCCTAGAACTATGCTCTGTACAAAGGAACAGCATCCATAGTGCTGTCACAATAGCACTAGTTTCACTTCAATTCTGATTAAGCAATGTCTTGAATGGCTTTAAAGATGGAGAAATGCAAAGTAGCTTGCTTCTGATCTTCATACTAGAGAGGAAATCAAGAATCACTCTGTCAGAGATTAGAGTTACTCCAATGGAAAATTAGCACTAAACCATCACTGTTCTTTATAATTATTTTCCTGCAAGATTTTTCTTTAATATTAACAACTTCATTTTTAGGCTCTTCAAATTAAGTATTTGAGCATATTTTAAAATAAATGAGGATTCCACGAGGCAAAATTGACTTCCATTTTCTCACAGATCAGCTTTCCCAGTTTTTAGATATTACGTTACTCAACAATTTTAAACAGTATAGCTCAACCATGAAAATGATGAGATATGAGGTAGATATGGGTGACAAAGAACTAAATCTTCTCTAATCCATTTGAGTGTAAATCCACTTATTTCAGGTGTGTAACTCCAGCGAGTGATTCCAACATGAGAAAATGGACCTGAGATTCACTGTACTCCATTTTTTGTTGTTTTCTTTTTTTTTTTTTTTTTTTACAGTTTGTTACTGGGTAGTCACAGCAAAACACAAATAAGGTGAAACTGTAAAATGTATAGATGTGAAGTTGCTGCTTGAAATGCTGATATGTATACTTATCTGTGATCAAGAATAAGAGGCATGAT